CCCATACTTAAAAGATGAGCCATGTTGCGCGCACTTGAATGACTGGAATATTCATTTTATACATATCTTAATGTTTGGCAATGTAGGATTATCAAGTTAAAGAATGTACGCCCTGTTACGAATTTTTCATAACTGAAGTCTTTTAATAAATGCTTCAGTCGAAGATCTGATCAAACTCGGTATTTACATATTCAAGGTTCGCATTTTGAATAGAGTAATTATTTGGAGATAACGAAGGATTTGCCCGAAAAACCGGTTCGAAAGGAGACCGTATGAGACGGCACCCGTATCAAACAGCTGCCCCTACAAAACGACTTCCTGCATTTCATAATCTCACGTGACTTGAACGGGTCGACCAGTCTGGTGCCACTCCATATTTCGAAATACTTTTTTTATTCAGCGTTGGCTTTACTAACCTACAATCATGTTTGTACAGCACCCACTTCAAATCTTGGATTACTTAGAAATCACAGCAGCTGTTAGGAGCGTCCTTGTGTAGTTCTGTCTATAAAATTGGAATATTTCGAGGAATGCGGCATAAATTCAGTACAATCTATAGTTTTATTCAGAAAGAAAAGACTACACAAGGGCGACAATGCTCGCAAAGATTAGGGAGCTCGGAAGGTGTCGGGATCAAGCTGGGCGCATGTCATGTGTGAGTGACGTCACACACCGTCATGGAGTCCAATGACGTTATGGTGCGACATGGTGTTATGGTTGGTGTTATGGTTGGTGTCATGTGATGTCACGGTTTTACGTGGTGTCATAATGCCACGAAGACAACACGTGACTCGATAACGTCATGACGTCATGATAACGTCATGAGCGATAACGTCATGAGCTTTCAGAAGCAGATGGCCCGGCCTTGTGACTCTGGGTACCCAGGTGTCCTCCTTGGAGCCGTATGTGAGACAATATGCAGAAAATTCTCAAGAGGATCACCAAGTACCGAGCGAGATAGACAGACTTCACGAGAGAACTTCGCAGTAGTCCCCTACATCCACGGTGTCACCCACCGGCTCAAAAAGGTCGCTGCACGACAAAATGTCAGGGTGGTGTGCTCGGCACCTAACAGAGGGAACTCTATGTGCCGCAGAGTAAATCGGGGCAAGAACCGCCAGCCAACCTGCAACACCGCGCACAGGACTAAGTACGCCATGTGCCAGACTGGTGTAGTGTACAATATTCCAATGTCATGTGGGAGCTGCTACATTGGGCAGACGGGACGCTGCGTTAATGAGTGAGTCAGGGAGCCTGCGGCGTCGATGCAGGGCACGGGAGCTGGGCACCTTGCAGCCGATTGCCGCACGTGCAGGTGCAGGCCCAGTTTTAGCAGCGTCTCCATTATTAACAGACACAGAAATGCCTTTGCGCGCGAGATTTTCTAGGCGCTGGCCATTGAGCAAACCGCCGATGATTGCGTAAGCATGCCCTTCATCACGGTCAGCAAGAAAGAAAGGCAGTTTTTGCATTGTGGCATGGCCCCGTGAAAGGGAATAAGAGGGATACAGTATGTGTCGGGCGGTGTTCTGTGGGTTGGATCAGGGAGGCGTTAGTGACCAAATTTAGGAATTTAATGTAATTAATTATTTTATTTAGTATTTTAATTTAGTAGTGTAATTTAAGAATTTGGGGTGATCCATTGGCATTACTTTAGGTGTGAATCTTTGGGTCGAAGTGATGAAGAAGAAATATAAGGTCTTAGTTGATAGTCAACGGTGTGTATGTCTCTGTTTCTCCCTGTCTGTGTTTTGTCCCTACCGTTCTAGCTGACCATTTTCCTAAAGCAGTGACAGACTTGTATTTTTAGGATGATGACATTAAAATCACCTTCTATTGTAATTGGTAAATTATTTGTAGTCGCAAATTCCAAATGAATATCTAGGAAAGAAAACATTTGCCAAAATTTGTTGAAGGCTTACGATATAAAACGGAACATAGTGTATTTTCCCATTTCAAACTCAAAATTTTATATTCCTCTGTACTTTCTGTAAACGAAAGTAGTTTTTCACACTGAAAGTTTCGATTTACCAATATTGAAACACCCCCCGTTCTGCGTGCACTTTTATTTAAAGAAAAAATTAGTATAGCCTGGTAAATTTAACAATATTACATCAAAAGTAACTTCACATATCTCAAAAAGAATGACATTATTGTCTACTTAATTTTTTTTACGGAGCTGGCATTGAGATGAAAAACACCTATATCTTTTGCACCAAAACAAGTATCAATGCTAGTCGGTAAAACGAGTTCGTAGTAGTTCATAACAAAACAGAGGAGTACCAGCTTTAGAAAGCAACTAGCAAATTTGGAAAAGGTCATCCTCATGGGTAATAGTAACAACGGGAGCGCGATCAAATTCTTTTGACAGGATTTTGCAGTTTTGTACTTAGACATATCGGCATCTACACTCTCGATTTCTAGCCTGGGTCACTCCCAGTGGCCGTTTTAGAGGAGGGCATTAGTGTTCATTCACAAACACTGGCGTGACTGTATCGAAGCAGAGTTCAATAGTAGCGATTCGTTTCTTTTCCGCCTTTTCAAGAATCAGGTCGCGCCTGTGCCTGTGCTGAAACTGCACGATCAAGTTACTTTTTAAGGGGTCTTTGGTTGGCACATGGTGACATGTCTATGTCCTAAATAGCAATGACTTCATTCATCAGTTCAACTATACAACTGATTAGATTCATAAAGTTCCCGTTACTATCTTGTGGAATCCCCTTTATCTCCAGGTTCTGATTACGGGGGTACAGCTTGCATTGAATCAGTCTCAGTTCAGTTTCCCAGGTGTTTTTGAGCATGACGTCATACGATTCTTGAAGACCCACAGTTCGTTTTTAGTTTTTTTTGAAGTCGAGTTTGCTTTTTCGGTTGCATTCACCTTTGCTTTCATCTCCTTATAATCTTTGTTGATAAAGTCCTTGCTAGCTTGTATGCCCTAAGTTTCGTCTGAACGGTACAAAATTCCGTCCTGAAATTGCGTTTAATCGTTTCTCGAAACAATGTGTGTTCTTTTTAAGACCATCCTTATGTTCAGCAAGCAATTTGGTTATGCCTTGGTCATGGCGATAAGAAGGCTATAAAATAAGAATTTTGACAACGAAAGCAGGGCGACAACAAAACATTTGGCAGCAGTAACGACAGCAATACACAGCGGACAAAAACGGTAAGCAAAAAAAAAACAAAAACAACCTGCAATAGTAGCGCGTTTTTTAGACATGATGTCTCAGCGAGCCGTCGCCATTGCCAAAGGGCTGAAAAGAAGTGTGGCCCCTCTTTTGTAGATAAGTGTCGCTGGGAGCGGCAGTCGAAGATGACCAATATCAGCCGCCCACGTCACCCACGCTCTTTAGAAACATGACTTGCACGTAGTTGATTTCGCGCTGGCTTTCCTTGTCGTTGTTCACTCAGCGAAGGTACTATCGTGGACACTGTTAGCTATAACACGGCAGCGCGGCCGCCCCGTACCCCCAGCGCCCCATAGCACGCGCCGTCCGAAACTACGCGCATGCGCCGTGTGGCGGACTCGCTCTTCCCGCCTGCGAGCACACCCTTGCTTTGTCGTCTGCTAGGCACAGAGCAGACGACGCCACAGCGCTCGCCAATTTTCGCTGAACATGGTTCAGCGAACCACCGCGTAAGAGGTGCCCACGGTTGATTCCCTGACTCCGCTGGCTAAGGATAATCATCGTATACTAAATGTAACATCACGGTATATTAATTTTTTTTTATGAGACAAACTTGCAGTTATAATTCGTTTCGCTACGAGACTATGTGACCCACCAAGCAGCGACAAAAGCACTTTTTGCACTTTATTGGGTCCCCCGGTGATGCACTCCGTGACGTTGCACCTTTGCCGCTATTTGATTGGCTCTGGCGTTTTGAAGCGTACGCTGCGGTCGGACTTAAGGTGAAATGGAGTATAGCAGTCCATTTCTGTATCACACCTGCTGCGCTCATACTGGTTTGCGAACGCATATCGGTAAAAATGCTGTTTCTGACAAAGCAAAAAAAAAAAAAAAAATCTTAAACAGGGGTTATGCCCTAATGACTCTGCAATCCGCCCCAATAAAAATCGGTGGTTGAAAATGAGTTTGTGACCAGTTCGCTATAGCGAGGGTACCAGACGAGCAGCACTGTAGCATCGCCTGCTCTGCGCCTAGCGGACGGCATAGCGAGGGTGTGCTCGCAAACGGGAAGAGCGAGTCCGCCACACGGCGCATGCGCGGAGTTTCGGACGGTGCCTGCTATGGGGCGCTGTTGGTACGGGACGGCCGCCGCTGCCGTGTTATAGCTAACAGTGTCCACGATAGTACTTGAGGACGGCCTGTTATAGGTGGTATCAGGGGCAGGCTGGCAATGGGTAGCGCATATTTTGAGACACGATGTCTCGGCGAGTCGTCGCCACTGCGAAAATGCCAAAAAAAGAGTACCTAGAGGGCAGCCATATAACATATACTGTGTAAAAAATGTAAAAGAAATTCTGTTGGCTTTTCAGAACCACAGACCCTTAGCTCTGACCATACAATAACTTTAAAAAGCTTTTTTTTTTTTTTTTTTTTGTAAACTGATACTTAGAAATTCTTTTATTATTTTTTTGATATAAAGTGGAATTGACAAGATATTTACCGGGCAGTGTCTTTAAAATGTTTGTTCAATCCTAGCTATATATCCTCGCAAGCGACAGGCGCTTGCGAGGATATATAGCATCGTGAAATAAACATAGAACATTGCTTATCGGTTTACTTTGGGAGAGGGAATACTGGCATCATATATTGGGTATTTATTTGTGCGTGAGTTTAAAACCTTTATAAAAATATTTAAAATGTGTTATACGTGCAAAATTGTATCATAGATTCAATGATTCCTCCAGCGGCAATATGAGAAAACAAATCGAATTCAATTAGAAGTTTTGATTCCAATTTTATAAATCAACGAAAACTGCCGTTTTTGGTGTTTATTGGGTGGTTCCATGCCATCGCTGTAATAAACGAAGGAGGTTTTGGGTGGTACAAATAATTTATTGGCAACTACGAGATTAAGAACACACTCCTGGTATCTTCCAGTCCGGTGTTTTTATCTCCCAGTCCACTCTTGTGGACACTCTTCTTCAATTTCTGTAAGAAAATGCAACGTACTCAAGTTAAACGCACCATACATAATTATTTTTTCAACGTTAGCGAATGCAATACTATAAAGCTTTCCAATAATACCCTTATTGTGTGCTGCCATATTTGTCCACTGGGCTGTCGAACGCGTTCTTAGCGGGCTAAGTAAGTCTCTTCTACGAATTATGAGACGCCGCGCACGCGTTGACAGGCAAGTGAACAATCATTTTTCGCCTAGATGATAAGCGCTCGAAAGTTCTATGATCGCGAACAACGTTCTGTGGCATTTCATAATAAATGAAGATTGGGTGCGCAGCTTTGATGTACGCTCAAGGCGGACAAGCACTCTAGCTCCCATAGCTTTGACTCCATAGTGGCAGGAAGTTAACCGCGGTATAGGTAAGGCCCACTGGCATCATTACAAAAGCTATCTGACACTTCTCCCAGCGGACCAGGACCCATGCCTTAGGCTTCGTCATAAATTTCATAGATCAAAACAGAAGACGCCACTTACACTTCCTCTTGCGAAGAAGGGCAGCGTAATCGTTGAAACCACCAAGGCCATAACCGTAGTTCAGACCGTAGCTTCCAAGACCGTGACCGAAGCCGTAGTGGCCGACGCCGTAGCCCAGAGTGCCGATTCCGTAGCCGTAAACTGGGGCGTGGGCAACGGTGGAGATAGCTGGGGCAGCGTGGTAGGTGGTGGCCACCTTGGAAACAGCTGGGACTGCAGCGTAGGTGGCGACTGGGGCAACTGCGTAAGAGGCAACAGCTGGAGCAGCGTGATAGGTGGTGGCAACCTTAGCCACAGCTGGGGCGGAATATGTGGTGACAGCTGGAGCAGCGTGGTAGGTAGCGATAGCTGGGGCGGCCTGGTAGGTGGTGGCAACCTTGGTGACTGCTGGGGCGGCAGCGTATGTGGCAACTGGGGCAACAGCGTAGGAAGCAACAGCTGGGGCGACCTGGTAGCTGGCCACCTTGGTCACAGCTGGGGCAGCGTGATAGGTCTGGTAGCTGGCTACAGCTGGGGCAGCGTAAGTGGTGGCAACCTTGGCCACGGCTGGAGCAACAGCGTAGGAGGTGACGGCTGGGGCGGCGTAAGTGGTCGCAACCTTCGCCACAGCTGGAGCCACAGCGTAGGAGGCGACGGCTGGGGCGGCGTAAGTGGTCGCAACCTTCGCCACAGCAGGAGCCACAGCGTAAGAAGCGACAGCTGGAGCGGCGTGGTAAGAAGTGGACACAGTGCGGCTCACAGCTGGAGCAGCAACAGCGTAGCTGGCGACTGGAGCAGCGACCGAATAGCCGGTCAGTCCAGAGTAGCCAAAGCCGTGGCCAAGACCGATAGCGTGGCCATAACCGAGACCACTGCCGTAGCCAAGGCCATAACCGTAGCCAAGGCCGTAGCCATAGCCAAGACCTCCCTGGACGTAACCGGCGAAGGCGCTGGTGGCCAGGGCCAGAAGAAGGCACGCACGGAACTGAAAATATCAGTTTGATAGTTTATTAAGTTTGGGTTAATATCAAGACCATGTAATCTTAGTTTTTCATTAAAATATGACAAGTTTTCTACCCGTTGCAGCAGTTAATTTGATCAGTAGCAAAGACTGAATACGTGGTGTCTTCAACACTCATCCTGCATAGTGATGGCGGGAGGATACGTTGATGTGGCCCCTCATAGCGTGAAATGTCAAAATAGCGACAGGGGGTAATTGAACTCATCAAAATTACTGGGAAAGTCAATGAAGTTGGTGTGGTTTTGGCTTTCATGCAAGATGAAATTCGCTTTTCTCATTCCATAAATATAGGCGGCAGATCTTATGTGGTTAAAGTGCCGCTTCAATTTTAGAAAGCTTTTGTCAAAACGACAAAGGAGTTGCAAAAAAAAAAAAACGTGTCCATTCATATATATTTTTTATAGACTCTTTTAGCCGGAGTGAGTGACTATGTTTCGTTTGTTTGACTAAATGTACTTTCTACGCGCGATGGATTGTCTGAGGAGCACCTGAGGTGGCACGGTTCAGTCTAAGAACGTTCCATTTGTTACGCGTTTCGCTCGTCAGATTTTACTAACTCAAACACCAACATATTATTCTATAGAGAACTCCCACTGATATATTTTATAAGATAACGTAAGATAGTGAGTTTGATTAAGAAATTTTTACTCGAATGTTGGTGGCTAAATTTCGTTTCTGCGTCACACATCTGGATTTAATGGAACGTATTACAAAACTAGATATTTAATGAAAGCAGTTGTTGAAAAGTCTCCCGACATAGATGTACGATACTTACTCCGGTCATGATGTGGTCCAGAGCTGAGGAAGTTCGAACTGCTGTATAAGGTGCCTGGTAATCCTTTTATATGATGGCGATAACGGGAAAAGTGAAATGCATAAAAAAATAATTACCGAACACGTTTTGATAATCAATAAAATCCTAGTCCTATCGTTTCTGCTGAGTGCCGCACTGCGATTTCTGACAAGCGAGGAAAGGTTACTAGGAAGTCCTGGAAAGCGAGCTCATAGAGAATACTTAAGAAGGGGAATTTCAATTGGAGGAATCTCTAACATCTCAAGATCCGTCTCAGTTTTTTATCAATTTTAAAAGGGCCGGAATTGTATGAATAATAGCAATCCGCTCCATTACTTAAGCATTCACATCACGGAAGTTAAGCAAGGGCTTCATAACCTTTATGGACTTTTTTAGGATCGGAACGTCGGATGCCATATTGTCATTCTCTTAGTGTGTGGTTGGTATAATTCGGTTAATTATATTTATCAATATTATAAAGCACATGTTGTGTATTACGTATACTTACACTGTGCTTGTGTTTATATCTGTAGTTACACGCATACCCGTACTTGTACTGGTTTTACTCTTACCTATACATATGTATATTCATAAGCTTGTACTTTTACTCGTACTTATAACTAAACCTACACTTATACTTTTATTGGTACTTGTGATTGAACTTTGTATTTGCACTTGTACTTATTAACTAGTTGTGCTACTATTAATTTACAGGCAATTAGCACGCACCAAAGTAGTAATCCAGGTATGTTTTTAATATTGCAAGTAAAATAATATTTTAAATACCGATCCTAAAATAGTCACTGCTTCATTCATCTTGATCGCAGGAAAGAAACGTTCTGGGAACTATATTTTGTGTTTTAAGTAACTTTTTGAACCATGTTGTGACAGGTATTTATGCGGGAAATAAATAAATTGGGACTCTTTTAAGAGGGAAGAACAAAATAAGCCAACTTTCACCAGTTAGGATGGACGTTTCTCCATTCGCAATTAGATATTGTTTCTTACAGATTTTTTAAAAACCGGAGACGACGGACGAAGAAAAAGGGGACAACACACGTATCTATTATATTTGTTCGGAAAACGACAGCTCACAACTAGCCAAATGAAGCCAGTGCGAGTGGTAACAAAGGGAACACATCAAACGTATTCGCGTCTCCAGCTCGTCGATCGCCCTCCCGTGGTGGAAATGGGAAGCGCTCTAGTGAGGGTCCCCCGATTCTCCTGCTCAGCGGGCACGGCGGAACTGCTCGCGATCATGGCTCGCGAAATGTCATTTCCGAATGCAAACAGCACTCTTCACTGTCCCAACGTGGTGCTGCAGCCAGTATGGTATTGTACCTTATTAGAGAGTTTTAGTATTGCGTATAGAAGCAAACGCAAGCGCTGTGCGTTTGCGTTAGGGTGGCGTGCTCCACGTTGCGCGTGCGTATCGCCGCCATGCTCCGATCCAAGACCGCAATTTTGGGTTCCGCGCACGCGCAGCGTGGAACACGCAAAGCTAACAGAAGCACACAGCGTTTACGTTCGCTTGTATACGCAATACTAAAACTCACAACTGTTTCACCGGCTTCCAACGCCAACGAAACGTGCTGCAGTGAGCAGACGCGCAAGCAGGTAGGCGTTCCTTCGAACTGGAAAGGCTGAGATTGGCAAAACGACGGCGAGCAAAGACGGAAGTAAATAACTGTCAAAGAAAGAGTAGTAATTAAAAAAAAATAATCCGTTCTTTTTTGTTGTTGTATTCCCGGGGGGGGGGGGGGGGGGGGGGGGATTTGGTCTGGAAGTATATTGGTGGCGACTTTCAAAGTTATGCCGATTCTCAAAAGTCGCTACTTTGGCAGCACCCTCAATTAATCTAATTTTACATGAATTTCTCACATTAGCTAGAATGTTGTCATTGATTTTAGACTTTATTTATTTTGTATCTTGGTAATTGAAAATGCTGCAATGGGCACCAGTGATGATAATTAGCACACTTTAGATTGTCCTAGTTGTTCGCGCGTTTGAAATTAGATCATAAGCAAGTAATTACTTTAGAGCTCGAAAAAATTGCGTATTAAGATATCTTAACTTTAATATTTATATGATTATATTAATACAAATCGCGGCAATGTATGCCCCCAATTAGCGCAACGATCACAAAATACGCTATTTAACCATAATAGTCTTTCCTAGAAGGTATAATTTTATTTTCTTTTTAGCGGAAGAAAACCTCTGACATCGTTATCAAGATAGACAAACAGTCAAACGCTGGATGCCATATAAACTCCTATGCGTCACGCGTTGCTTTAAAAACACGCACACTTCAGCTGCCTGACTGGGATTCCGTTTTTGAATTTTTCTAGTGAGAACAGCGTTTCTTAAGTCATTCGTTTTTTGAACATATTGTATACATTCGATTTATTCTGTTATTCTTGTGCTGGGAAAAATGTTACAGCAGTTAATTATCAAAATACCCAAAAAGCCATTGAAAGGCCCGCAGTTCATTATTTCATATGAAAATTATCTTAGCGAGAAAACGCAACAAGAACGCACAAATATCAGCACTGATTTTTTCAACAAATAATAATATTCTATGTTACCTCTAAAGTGTAAGAAAGACCCTGTATTTAAAAGGACGAAAGTTTCCGCGAACAACTTCTTTAACTAAATAGCTACGGTGTCAGACACATTTTCAGTTATAGAAGAGCCTGAAATTAAGACATATAACGAGAAAGTTAATTCCAAAATAAAGGTTAGTTTCGGTTTCTCTACGGAATTAAAACGTAGCTCCTGGCCTAAATATTACGGTAAAAACCGTTTTTGTTTTCAGCATAAAGAGGTGACCTGCGCTCATATCATCCTAGCTTCCTCGTAATACCAAATATAGTCTGCCTCGCTCAGTGAAGCCGGCACACTAGACAGGCTCAGCAGCGGCACGCATCTCCGACCCTCACTAAACCCGCCATTTTGGAAAACGAGTGGCGCCACCTCTAGTGAATTGGAGTCGCGAATGCCTTTACCGGTCTACTTCAGATACTCTGTATCACTTTGAAATTATATTTTTTGTAACCAGAATGGCACAAGCTTATTAGACACTTTTTCTTTAAAATACATGCGTCAGTCCGCCTCATGTGAACATACAATGTTGAAGACTTTTTGAGAAACATGTTTATATTGAAGCAATGGTGTGGGCTGTTGACACGGGATCTGTCGGCAACTTGGAGTTGGCGCCATCAAAATTGTTTTTGACTGGAATGTACGGGGGCTTGGGAAAAGGAAGAGGGAAGGGGTGGAGTTTTGGGAAAAGGAAGGGAAAAAGAGGGGGACGAGGGTGGCGAGTGACATATAAGTTTGTCCTGTAAAATAAAGTTTGTAGCTGCGTTTGAGACTTCGTCCCTGTCGTTCTGTGTTTTGTCCCTTGTCCGTATCCCCAGTCTCGGGTTACAACTATGCTCATGTTTATATTGTTCTTATTAACCTTATGGTCATTAAATATATTATCCGTATTATTTATTTATTTATTTATTTATTCATATTACCCCTAAAGGCCCTCGTGAGAGGGTATTACATAGGGGGGTACATAAATTGTTCCAATAGGAACTAGTACACAGTGAACAACATATGAGAATACTAGAAAACAATCAATACACTTAATAATAAAAAGAAAATAAAGGATACACTCAGAAACGAATAAAAAAACATACACTCACTCATCACACTGCAATAAAGCTGAGTCAAGGAAAAAACAAAATAGTACAGATTTGCACTGCACGTTCCGGAAGAGAGGAAACAACAATGTAAAACAGCAAAAGTTAGATGGCATCAGTATTTTGAATTTGTTCTTGAAACTTCGTGGTGTCTTTTTCTGAGGCAATGTGCGATGGTAGATTATTCCAATCGATTGTGGTACGTGGAATGAATGACCGGGAAAAAGCAGATGACTTACAGGTTACGCGTTTAACTTTGTAGGGGTGACCGTGGCGTGGAAAAATAACGGCAGGTGGCTCGAAGAAATCACCGTGAAGTGACGCGTGGTGGTAAAGTTTATGGAAAAGAGCTAGATAGGCGTGAAAGTTTGCGACGATGGAGTAGTTCGGGTAGCTCTGCTCGGCGTTTTAGTGCTGTGACGCTGGAATGACGTGAATAATCTGAAAATATGAAGCGAGCGGCACGATTTTGCAGTGAT